CCCCCACTAGGATATAGAAAAATTATGAAGATATGTCTGTAAACACTAAACAATCAGTTGATCAAACAGTTCTTTCTGAATGCTATATTTCATCATTCGTCCTTCGTCCATATTTCTTCCAACCAGTATGCACGTGGAGTCATTTTGTTGCGAAGTTCTTTGTGAACTTAAAATCTTTTCTAAAAGCATTGTTAATTATACCGAATGATAATATTTGAAAAAGTGGTATCAGAAGCAAAATCCTGATACAACTGCAAGGGAATACAGGAATGAGGCGAAATGTCCACCATTGGATGGATGGGGTTGAATATAATCTCAAACTAAGTATGTCTGCAACAGGAACTGTCAATGAATAAGATTCTGAACATAATAAGGCATCACAGAATAATTTTCAGATAATAAAGCACCATATTAATTGGTGTATTTTATCTGGCCAAGGTGTCTCATCCCTTCAACATAATTTATCATGAGTTTATTGTAATAAGTGTCTGATGGTGGCTATTATTTGAGCCAGTTCCTACAAGCCCTGCCTACTATGAGTTTATTCTAATAAGTGTTTGATGGTGGCTATTATTTGATACAGTTCCTACAAGCACTTCCTATTATTAGTTTATTGTAATAAGTGTTTGATTGTGGCTATTATTTGAGAAAGTTCCTGCAAGCACTGCCTACTATGATTTTATTGTAATAAGTGTCTAATGGTGGCTATCATTTGAGAAAGTTCCTACAAACACTGCCTACTATGAGTTTCTTGTAATAAGTGTCTGATGTTGGCTATTATTTGAGAAAGTTTCTACAAGCACTGCCTACTAGGAGTTTATTGTAATAAGTGTTTGATTGTGGCTATTATTTGAGAAAGTTCCTACAAACAATGCCTATTATGAGTTTATTGTAACAAGTGTCTGATGGCGGCTATCATTTGAGACAGTTCCCACAAGCACTGCCTACTATGCGTTTATTGTAATAAGTGTCTAATGGGGGCTATTATTTGAGACAGGTCCTACAAGCACTGCCTACTAGGAGTTTATTGTAATAAGTGTCTAATAGTGGCTATTATTTGAGACATTTCCTACAAGCACTGCCTAATTTGAGTTTATTGTAATAAGTGTCTTATGGTGGCTATCATTTGAGAAAGTTCTTACAAGCACTGCCTACTATGCGTTTATTGTAATAAGTGTCTAATAGTGGCTATTATTTGAGACATTTCCTACAAGCACTGCCTAATTTGAGTTTATTGTAATAAGTTTCTGATGGTGGCTATTATTGGAGACAGTTCCTACAAGCACTGACATCTCCCAAAATTGCTAACGTGTACATGTCATGCGGAGGATGCCTTGCTCTGAAAATTTGACAACCTCATATTGTCTACACTGTTGGAATTACTTCCCAGACCCATATATGATGGTGGCTATTATTTGATACAGTTCCTACAAGCACTTCCTACTATGAGTTTATTGTATAAGTGTCTGATGGTGGATATTATTTTAGACAGTTCCTACAAGCACTTCCTACTATGAGTTTATTGTTATAAGTGTCTGATGGTGGCGATTATGTGAGAAAGTTCCTACAACCACTGCCTACTATGAGTTTTTTGTAATAAGTGTCTGATGGGGGCTATTATCTCAGACAGTTCCTACAAGCACTGGCTATTATGAGTTTATTGTAACAAGCGTCTGATGGTGGCTATTATGTGAGAAAGTTCCTGCAAGAACTGCCTACTATGAGTTTATTCTAATAAGTGTTTGATGGTGGCTATTATTTGATACAGTTCCTACAAGCACTGACATCTCCCAAAATTGCTAACGAGTACATGTCATGCTGAGGATGCCTTGCTCTGAAAATTTGACAACCTCATATTGTCTACACTGTTGGAATTACTTCCCAGACCCATATATGATGGTGGCTATTATTTGTGAAGGTTCCTACAAGCACTGCCTCCTATGAGTTTATTGTAATAAATGTCTGATGGTGGCTATTATCTGAGAAGGTTCCTACAAGCACTGCCTCCTATGAGTTTATTGTAATAAGAGTCTGATGGTGGCTATTATTTTAGAAAGTTCCTACAAGCACTGCCATCTCCCAAAATTGATAACGTGTACATGTCATGCGGAGGATGCCTTGCTCTGAAAATTTGACAACCTCATATTGTCTACACTGTTGGAATTACTTCCCAGACCCATATATGATGGTGGCTATTATTTGATACAGTTCCTACAAGCACTTCCTATTATTAGTTTATTGTAATAAGTGTCTGCTGGTGGCTATTATCTGTGACAGTTCCTACAAGCACTACCTATTATGAGTTTATTGTAATAAATGTCTGATGGTGGCTATTATTTGAGGCAGTTCCTACAAGCACTGCCTGCTATGAGTTTATTGTAACAAGTGTCTGATGATGGCTATCATTTGAGACAGTTCCCACAAGCACTGCCTACTATGAGTGTATTGTAATAAGTGTCTGATGTTGGCTATTATTTGAGAAAGTTTCTACAAGCACTGCCTACTATGCGTTTATTGTAATAAGTGTCTGCTGGTGGCTATTATCTGTGACAGTTCCTACAAGCACTTCCTATTATTAGTTTATTGTAATAAGTGTTTGATTGTGGCTATTATTTGAGAAAGTTTCTACAAGCACTGCCTACTATGCGTTTATTGTAATAAGTGTCTTATGGTGGCTATTTTCTGAGACAGTTCCTACAAGCCCTGCCTACTATGAGTTTATTGTTATAAGTGTCTGATGGTGGATATTATTTTAGACAGTTCCTACAAGCCCTGCCTACTATGAGTTTATTCTAATAAGTGTTTGATGGTGGCTATTATTTGAGCCAGTTCCTACAAGCCCTGCCTACTATGAGTTTATTCTAATAAGTGTTTGATGGTGGCTATTATTTGATACAGTTCCTACAAGCACTTCCTATTATTAGTTTATTGTAATAAGTGTTTGATGGGGGCTATCATTTGAGACAGTTCCTACAATCACTGCCTACTATGAGTTTATTGTACTAAGTGTCTGATGGTGGTTATCATTTGAGACAGTTCCCACAAGCACTGCCTACTATGATTTTATTGTAATAAGTGTCTTATGGTGGCTATTATTTGAGGCAGTTCCTACAAGCACTGCCATCTCCCAAAAGTGCTAACGTGTACATGTCATGCTGAGGATGCCTTGCTCTGAAAATTTGACAACCTCATATTGTCTACACTGTTGGAATTACTTCCCAGACCCATATATGATGGTGGCTATTATTTGAGCCAGTTCCTACAAGCCCTGCCTACTATGAGTTTATTGTTATAAGTGTCTGATGGTGGCTATTATTGGAGACAGTTCCTACAAGCACTGCCTCCTATGAGTTTATTGTAATAACTGTCTAATGGTGGCTATTATTTGAGCCAGTTCCTACAAGCCCTGCCTACTATGAGTTTATTGTTATAAGTGTCTGATGGTGGCGATTATGTGAGAAAGTTCCTGCAAGAACTGCCTACTATGAGTTTATTGTATAAGGGTCTGGTGGGGGCCATTATTTGAGGCAGTTCCTACAAGCACTGCCTCCTATGAGTTTATTGTAATAAGAGTCTGATGGTGGCTATTATCTGAGAAGGTTCCTACAAGCACTGCCTAATTTGAGTTTATTGTAATAAGTGTTTGATTGTGGCTATTATTTGAGAAAGTTCCTGCAAGCACTGCCTACTATGAGTGTATTGTAATAAGTGTCTGATGTTGGCTATTATTTGAGAAAGTTTCTACAAGCACTGCCTACTATGAGGTTATTGTAATAAGTGTCTGCTGGTGGCTATTATCTGTGACAGTTCCTACAAGCACTACCTATTATGAGTTTATTGTAACAAGCGTCTGATGGTGGCTATTATCTGAGAAGGTTCCTACAAGCACTGCCTGCTATGAGTTTATTGTAACAAGGGTCTGATGGTGGCTATCATTTGAGAAAGTTCTTACAAGCACTGCCTACTATGAGTTTATTGTAACAAGTGTCTGATGGTGGCTATCATTTGAGACAGTTCTTACAAGCACTGCCTACTATGAGTTTATTGTAATAAGTGTCTGATGGTGGCTATCATTTGAGACAGTTCCTACAAGCACTGCCATCTCCCAAAATTGCTAACGTGTACATGTCATGCTGAGGATGCCTTGCTCTGAAAATTTGACAACCTCATATTGTCTACACTGTTGGAATTACTTCCCAGACCCATATACCCATTTTAAGTAATTCGTATCCTACAAACATATGTTTGTAAGGATTCAGTTTTATTTGGGAATTTACCATTGAAATTACTTCTTTGACCCATATATATACATATCTATTTTTATTCTTTTATTTGGAGCAAAAAAAAATTCAAAAAAAATTCTGCATTATCATTGTCTAGTCGATAGATGCAGAAGTTGATAATTATACAAAACCATGTGTACCTCTGGAAGCTCCATAATGAAGTCGTGTGCGTTGGCCATCTTTGCTGCCGCTATAATTTGGTCCTGGGTGGCTCCATCCCATCCAAAGCGGATATTTTCCTCAATGGAAGTCGCAAAGAGGACAGGCTCCTGACTGACTACCCCAATGTGTTGTCTTAACCATTTCACGTTCAAATCCTTCAGGTTTGTACCATCAATCATTACCTATATCATAGAATATTGTATTCGACTATATCAAGGTTTTACTGTATACACAATGTACGTATCGAACGTGACACAACGTTTCAAGACCAACGGTCTCTTTGTCAAGATATGACTGAGTGAGTGATTTGCATTATTTACCTGTACAACGGTGTGACGAAATTGAATGTTTCATGTCATTCGCGTTTAATTCAACCCAGGATGTTTCCCTATTGATAGAGAGTGTACATGTATACACATTACAGTGTAATGAAATTGAAGAGCTAATTTAATATTGGGCGAAAAATTTCCTGGTGTACAGTAACTATTTACATGATGCACCTGTCTATCAAATTTTATCAAGACTTTATATCATTCCATCTTACTGCTCAGAAAACTATCAAAATGGTTTTACATTCTATGATCAGTCATTCAAAATACATATTAACTTTCCTAAAAAGCCTTCAGTCATTCATCAATACAAGAAAAAAGTTGTACAATACATACATTAGAATTATTTGACCGCTGACCCCTCAATGACACCTTTACCTTGGGGATACAGATCTGAGAGTGACCCTTTGTGACCTTGATCTTCAGTTAAGTGGTACACTATACACCCTCTGGTGCTAGTACATACAAAGTTTCATTAAAACATATTGGCCAATCAGTAGTTATCAACTGAATACATGTTTGACAAAAAATGCGTTCTAGACATTCATTTTCGCAGGATAATTAATTTTTGCCCTTACGGTCATCTCTAAAATATACAATTAATAGCAAACCTAGGATGCAAAGTAAAGGTGTATTTGGAAAGAAGTAAAAGTTGTTCAGATCTTAAATTAACTTGATGATAACTGCAACAGTTCTTAAAATCGTTCTTGATAAACCAAACCCAGGTTGAATTCACTGCTGCTCACCTGTCCACCCTCCGGGTCGTAGAACCGTTGTATGAGCTGTACCATTGTACTTTTACCACACCCACTGGACCCAACAAGGGCCACTGTTTGTCCCCTCTTAATCTCAAGGTCAACCTTGTTAAGAACTTTGACCTCTGGTCGGGCTGGGTAGCGAAATTCTATATCTTCAAATTCTATGTTTCCCTCCAAATGGTCAGGTGACTTTCCCTGCTCTGAACTGCTGTCAATGTCTGGATTCTGTAAACAAATAGAGTCTCATGAAAATAGTCGTCTGTGGATGGAAACAGCAGTTTATAGGAGACCATCAGCGACTTTAGGAGACCATCAGTGACTTTAGGAGACCATCAGTGACTTTAGGAGACCATCAGTGACTTCAGTGACTTTAGGAGACAATCAGTGACTTTAGGAGACCATCAGTGACTTTAGGAGACCATCAGTGACGTTAGGAGACTATCAGTGACTTTCCAAAGGTAATCCTTTCACTACTCTTTAATTTATCATATTACTCACACACACACATAAAGCCAACAAAAAAAAATGTTGATTTCCTGTTACATATTTCAGGGTAGGTAGGTAGGCAATACATTTTAAGTTTCAATTTTTGAAAAGGAAAATATTCTTGACTTTAACATTGCTTCCTTGAAAATAGCCAACAAAAATGTTATGGGTAGGCATGAAAAGTTAGGGTAGGTAGGGTAACTGGAAACACACATATCTTAGTTTGCCTAACACATATAACTTGATTCATATAAAGGTTCAAAAAGTCATACAACTATCCCGAATACCAGTTTTATTATGATACATATTTATACAATTTATTTGTGCATGACAAATCTTAAACAAGTTGAAGAAAAAAGTAAATGTTTGTTACCAGATCAATAAGCTGGTAGATGGTATAAGCAGCAGCTCTGGCCACGGTGAAGTCCTGTAGGCTAGGAAGTCCAGTCCCCAAGGACATGGCACCAATCAGCACAGAGAAAAACACCTGTAAGACATTGTCCACACCTTATGATTGAAAGTTAGACTATAGTGCTAACATTTCTTTGCAGATTTACTCTCATTATATCTGCATTCTGATAAAATTGGAGCCGGTGAATCAGGAACTCGGAGCTTACCAGTAAGCTAATGTCTGAATGTGTAGCCATTTTGATTGAGCGTTAGCTAGAACTGTTGCCATTTCAATGGACAGCTAGTCTGTGAATCTCTAACCCATTTGATTGACAGCTGTTGAATAGTAATGCCCACCAGTGGTGAGTAAAATTTAAATCTTCAAACTTTATTCCAGGAGTACCAACAATAGAACTCTGACACCATGGTTCATAGTTATAAAGTCTGACTTGTACTTTTAACTGTCTTTAAACAAAGCAGCTATCATATGATGTTATTGTTTTATTGTACCAGTACTTGTAACTTACGATCAGCACTTTGCCAATGGAGTAGGTGTCTGGTTCCTCTCGCGAGACTTTGGCTCCATACCAGAAAGCCAGAGCATATGTACAAAATATAACAAAGTACACTACACCCATGGATATACCATTGCCTAGAGCCTTTTTAATACCGAAGTTCCGTGCCTCAGAAAGCCTCTCACTATATCTGTAAAATTCAGACAATACTATCATTATTATTGTAGTCGTAGTTTCTTGACTACTCGCTGCTATTAAAATTAAGGTCCATGTTTTTGAAATTATAAAATAGCATGCCTACTTCTGAGAAGGTATATCAACAAATAAAGATGATAAAAAAAAGCAAATTGTGCATTTGATATTCATTTGAATAAACATTGGTTCTGCCTCAAATTAAACTTAACTGTACAGGGTTGATAGCCAATGACCAGGTAGCTTAATGGATGAGAGCGCCAATCTAGAGTTCAGACATTCAAATCCCCGTCTGAATGTGCATTTTCCCTCCTCTGTTACATGCCCTATTACATCCATATATAATTTGATGGCTGGTCAGCTTCTAGTATGGAGTTATATAATAAACGTAACTGAGAGGTTGCACAGAAGAACCTGTGGACTCAGCAGAAAACACCTCAATATTTTGAAGGAAATTTCAAAAACAAACTTTAATCTGTAGTACAAAAATTTCCTGTTGATTATCTACTCATACATTTTCAAAAATAAACAAAACAATTCAATAACCAACATACTTCTGACACGCCTTTTTCTCGCCACCAAATGCCACAACAGTTCTTACGGAGCTAAGGACTTCCTCTGCTACAGACCCAGCCTGAGCGTAGGCCTGGAGTTGATTTCCTGTCACAGATGTCAGAATCTGTAAAGTTAATACAAATTAAATAAATGAAATGAGCAAATGAACAACACTTATTAGAATAGCTGGATATAATTACAATCAAGCCTGCATTTAGTTAAAGAGTCCAACAAGAGTACCGCGGGTCGGAACAATATACGCCCGTCGAATGCCATATAGTGTTATAAACTTTCTTACATTGAAATAAGATCTGCATCATTCAAAGAGTGGTAAGCTGACATGCTATAACAATGTAGGAGGAGATCTCCAGACAAAAAATCAAATACTCAAATGAACAAAGGGCAATGGCTTTTGGAAAAATTGTCGAACCAAAACTCATTTAAGGGAGACACAACTTCATATCATGATTATAATGTATACCAAGTTTCAAAGAGATCCGTTGAAAAATGTAGGAGAAGATTCCCGGACAAAAATCAAATACTGAAATGAACAAAGGGCAATAACTTTTGGAAAAATTGTTATATCAAAATTCTTTTAAGGGAGACGCAACTTGAAATCATGATTATAATGTATACCAAGTTTCAAAGAGATCAGCCAAAAAAATCTAGGAGGAGATTGCCGGACATACAAAAGTTTACCATACCATAATACTCCTGTCAAATTTGACGGGCGTATAAAAAATGTAGTGTTAAAACAGGTGGTCTCTTAAGGTGGCTACACACTTTCTTAATTAACCAGCAAAATTCGTTGAAACTTTCATATAATGGTTATGGAACTATGTAGAGTTGATTTTATGCAAAATCTAAACATTCCGATAGTTTGGGGACTTTTTTGGAAAAAATACCAAAAAATTGAATTTTCATCAATTTTAACATTTCCGGGTTTTTGTGTGTGTGGCATTGTTCGGAACAATAACAACAATAATAAAATGAAAAGAAGCATTTCTAATTAACCCTACAAATATTTTATTTATCGCAAAATATGTAACACATGTTACACAAAGTGTCTTTTTTATTGAATTTGTACGGATAAAAGTGATTATCTTCAAGCTAAAAGCAAACAGAACACAAAGATCTATACATATAGAATGGGAAATTGAATAAAATATAAACAATGGCTTTATAATTAATTTATTTTACATTTTACAATCACTTAGATCCGGGTGAGAGTTGTCGTCCTTGAAAACAATAGAAACTTTTTGCAGGGGGGTGACATTTACACAATGACAGTTGTCTCTGTTTACATATAACAAAAATGATGGAAATAAATCAAATTATGATATCAAAATTATCAATTTAATTTTCTTTAATGGAACCAAATTACCCTCATTCCACAGTCCGCTAACTCGCGGTATATTTATAATTCAGGTACATATGTGACCAGAGGCTATCGCATGGTATGCCGTTCTCACGTGCACTCACACATGCATTTCATAGGTATCTTGATATTTTACGAAACATTATTTTCACAGAGTAAGTAGACTACATTTGTAAACACGATTTAATCGACAGAGCAAAACTCCCTCAACAGCGAAAACGTAACGACCTCGCGCTTATGAACTCGTGTAAGAACGTAATATGCACAAGTGAGGTCGGTACGTCCGCATTCCATGCGTTTCCTATATGACCTTCTTGAGGTCGTTTGGTCTCATGTCACTGTTTTCCTGTGAGCCTGTTTATGTCTATGAATTGGGAAGCTTTATTCCTGAAGTACGTGTGATTATACATTTCCCGGTAAAATCTAGATATCGGGTGTTGACATATCATCGGCACGCACGTGTACTATTGTTTACCAGGGGCCTGTTCGTTTATGTGGAGCAACCGGTTTGACCGTTTATAAATATAACAATTTCGGGTATAAATCCTGGCAGACGTGCAAATGTGTATGCAGGCCTTGCAAGGCTTTCTCAAGGCTCGCCTGAAAGCAGCATCAGATTACTAGGTCCGACCTTATTTAATGAACGAACAACAGTGGGCCGATCGGTTTGACCGTTTAAGCGAAAACGGCCCAGGTGTTACTATGATTTGCCCTACGATATTGAATGCCTGATACGCAATACGGAAATGACGACACGGTGTACATGCACATTTCGATCAAGATAATTGAGTCCGAGCTGTACTTTTTCCGGAAGTACATCACGAAAATGGACGCTGATGACGATGTGTGGAGCCACCTTAATAGAGGTGCTCCCTTGAGTTGGTTTCATTATGTATTTTAGAAAGCTGAATCTTTGATTATTTCCTGTACTCACATATTAAAAGAAATCCAAAGTCATCGGCTTTATATGATCTTTCAGCCTTTAACCCGACCAATGACCAATAAAAATCTAATCTGATGTAGACCTTGACATTAACATACTATGATGTGAACACTGAATCTGTTGAGGGGTTTATTAGATACAACAATCTTTTGACGTTTAAAGTGGTCGAGTGTGACCTTTGACCCTTCCTCCTTGACTCATGACTACCAAACTTTTATCAGCTTTAGAACTTAATGGTATCATGCCATGGTGTAGTAAAATCCATTGATGAATTCATGAGCATGCCTTTTAATACAGATTGTCCATGCAACTGAACAGACATCCGATGCACTATGAGGAAGAATTCCTTACCTTATTGAAGACAAATGCTGCCCCCATGATGATAGGACAGACAGAGAGTATGACCAAGGTCAGTTTCCATCCACACACAAAACCAATGGTGATCCCAGTCAGAAAGCTTGAGAAGAACTGCAGGAACGTACCCAACTTGTCCCCTATACCACTATGGATCTTGTTTATATCGCTGTAAAAGTATTATTTAGTTTCTTATTTCAGAAACTAGCTTGTACATACATGTACCTGCTGCTAAGAAGCATGGAAACATTAACGGGCCCAAGGGGCGTGTACAATTCACTTAATCTTAAGCAATCAAATGACTATAGCAGTTGAAATTTAAAGAAATCTTCAATCCAGCAAGCTGCCGGCCAAATATATACTACAATGATGGGTACATTAATGAACATGAATGGTTTTGGTCCCAAATTACTAAGTTTACAATATATATGTGCTGTGTATCAGGTCCATTATCATAATCAATCCTATTATACTTTAAGGGAGAAAACTCCTGATACATGAAGTAAGAACTTACTCTGACAGTCTCGTGTTCAGTTGTCCGGAATCATGGGTATCAAACCAGGTCATATCCTGTCTCATCACATTGCGGAAAAACCTCTTTCTGATCCTGTGGCTCTGTCTCTCAGCAGCCAAAGACCAGAATGTCACCTGGGCATAGCCAAGAAGGATAACTCCACAGCCAATACCTGTAAAATTTAATCTTTGGTAGATCACCCTTAATAAAATAAGCTTAAGCTTTATAATTCCTTTTATTATTATTGACTTGGAGTGCGTGATTTTTGTTGAAGGACTGGGTGTTTCTAAAAATAGTATTACGTATGACGTGTCTCCAAACAAACACACCATCCCTCTTTATTACATTTTTTCTCTCTCGATTGCTTGCATTACTGTTTTGAAAATAATGAAACAATTGTAGCCTTTAACTTCGGTCGTTACCTGGATTTATCGACCAGAGAAAAGATATATTGACCTCAGACTGCAATATATCCTTTCTTGGTTTGATAAATCCAGGTATCAATCCAGGTATCAATCCAAGTATCGACCTATACATTTCTGAGAACATTGGTGAAAATAGTAACTTGAATGCCTGTTATAATTGAAATTGGATTTGACACTAACTCATTTTGCTTGGTAGACTACAGCACTAGTTGAAAAGGTTATTTGCTACATTGTAGTTATATGTCAGTGTTACCGGGGAACATAAAAAAACACAAAAACTAATACAATATATTTAAGTCTTGGGCGAGTTCTGGCATGCATGAAAATGAATGTAAAATTCACAAATTACACAAAATCTACGAAATCAGGCACATATGGACACAGGTAAGTGGTCAATGTTTAAAGTAAGAAATCACAGGTCAAAGGTCAAGGAGATAATTGTCTCAACATCAGTACTTTCAATTATTAAATGAAAATTTAAGATTCTTACCAACATAGTACAGAGAGAATGTCCTCATTTGTTCTAGGAAGTCTGTGTCAATCTGTTTTTGGATGATACTGGTGTCCACAGTGCTGTAGTTGGTCCCAATGTCAGTAATGTATGGGCTGCAACACAAAATACACATAATTACCTCCCTTTAATCAACACAACATACACATAATTACCTCCCTTTAATCAACACAAAATACACATAATTACCCCCCTTTAATCAACACAACATACACATAATTACCTCCCTTTAACACCAAATTTCTACCCTATTTACATCATAAGCTGGAAGGACCTATTCTTTGACTAGATAGAAGACCACAAACAATTCTGATGTAAACCATTGTTAGATCTTCATAAATTGTATGCAAGCTTAAACTTTTCTCTTCAATTCTCTGTCCTTTTCTAAAAGAAATAACAATTTTATTGTGAGAACTGTAGAGTGATAATATTTTTCTACATAGTAGTGACCTTTAACCACTGTCACTTAAAGTCCTGAAACTCTTTAAAGTGATTCAGCATAACTAGTACAATAATTCTTTGAAGTCAGAATGCAAATGACAAAAGAGTATAAATAACAAAAGATGTCTATTTAATAGCAACCTTGAACTTTGTACCAGATTGAAGATCCTGAGATGCAGAATAGTTAAAGGTATTTATTACTTTATGCCCCCTCCCCAAATGTTATGGAGGGGCATTGTTCCCACTGAATTTTAGATTATGGGGTATACTTGATACATTTCGAAAAATTGTGTACCCCTAGGTACTTAGTTCAATAGGGCAATCCTTGAAAACTTGATATGCAACCAACTGATTGAGGGGTGAAAAACCTCATTTGGAGGTTTCTGGGAACACTAAACAGGGCTTCTAAACAGAAAAAATATTAGCACTCGGGTTTTACTGTCAAATAATGATCCAATGAAGTTATAGACTGTAAAATAAACAAAATATTACCTAAGAAGACTTGGGTTGGCAATACATGCTGCCTGTGTGAGCCCGACATTAGTCAGGAAGTCTGCGATAACCTCAAGGATGGCTGTGTACTTTCCCACGTCTACGAAGGAATCAGTCATTGTCCCAAACACAATGATCATGGCAGGCATCCCCGCACCATGAGCCATAGCCCCTATAGAACCAATGATCATCAATAGCCGGTCCCAGCAGTCAGAAAAACGAAACTGAAATCACAAATTAATGTTTTTATTCATATGTTATATGTTATACATGTGTTTATGTTTTGTTGCATCCTTTGAGTTTCTCACACAGCATTAATATGTACTTCTAAATGACCAATGAGGACCAAAATAATAATTGTGTTTACGCTATCATCCTCATGAAAATAGTGTAAGTAGGAAGGCATTTATTTTTTATTTTTTTTGAAACTATTTTATGCTTACAGAGAGCAGAAGTTCTGACTAACAGTGCATATTGATCACTAAAATATGCCAATAAAAAGTTAAGCAATTTTGCACAAAAAGTTAAGGGTAGATAGTGTTAGCGGAAACAAGATTTTTTCATATTTGGCCTAATGATTGTAAGGAGTATGACAAAACATCATGGCTGTCCCATAGTCTGCAAATGTACAGTGAATCCTGTCCATTTTCCCCTTCGTTATCCAGACATCCTCTCTAATCCAATAATGCTGTATCCCCACTTCTTATGAATAAGAAATGTACTACTTGTACCTAATGTACATGTAAGACTTTTATCTTGTCGGAGATTCAATTTTTGTTTGTTTGATAAATCCAGCAACTTTTTTGATTGAAGACATTTCGCTTCTCACATTGTGACTAAGAAGTTGGTCACAATCATTAGGATATTAGTAGTCTACATTAGCAAAACAAGATCTCAGCATGAAAGTTTGGTCATAACCCATAATATTAAATAGTATATCGTAAAATGAGGGGGGAACATAAAATTTTATTTTTATTTATATCTTTCGTGTTTAGAACGGCCTTAAATGTTTCTGAAGGGGTTTTGCAATTTCAGATTTGAAATGTGTGAATCAAAATTTTGTTTGAGAATGTGTGAAATACCTTATTTAGAGAATTACATAAAATGATCATTTGGAATAAGATGTGTTCTCAAGAACTTTTACATTCTCAACTTCAAAATATGTTAATTAAAATTTCATTTGAAAATGTGCCAAGTTAACCTAACACCATTTATATTTTTTTTGAATCAGAAATAAGTAGGGTTGAATGTTACAGGTACGAACCGTTTCAAAGAATCCAACAGCGTTCATCGGCTCCTCCTTTTTCTCCTTGTCCTCATCGTCTGACCCAGCTGCTGAACCTGCCTCCACCACTGGTCCCTCTAGCCCCGACTTCTTCACTACCACCCCATTCACTATTTCCTTGTCAGCTCCAAGGGGTGCCACCGCTGTGTAAGTTAAACATCAAAGTTGTAGTACTGTTCTGGGCTACTTATATGAGTCAGATTCTGAGATAGTCAGGTAGTTTTATGTTTTCAAAACAGGACTGACTGAGGACTTGAAAACAGCTCACTCAACGGTGAATTTTTTTGTTTACCTTCAAATTTACATTTGTTGCAGTTTATAATTTTCAAACTTGAAGCTATCATCTTAGTTTCTAATTCTTATCATATGCTGTGTGTTTGTTCTTTTCCATGCAGAATTGCAGATGATTCTCAACATTGATATTTTACCTTTCTATTGATTACATTCTCTTACTACATCTAATTCCAGTTCAAATTTCAAGGGTAAATGTATCGTCAAGAAATATTCTATTCCTTTTTTTTCATAAATGATGCCCTGTTGTTCTGCAATTAATGAATGTGTAGTTTAGCAACTGTCCAGGCTACATTATTGATTAAAACAATTTTGAAGTCTGCAAATCCTTTACATATCAATCTTACTTCCCTTTGTGTGTTTTAACATTTAATAAATACTGCAGCTTTAATTGTAAAGGTATCAAATGAAATACACCACAACGGAAATGAGTTACATTTATCTAATTTGGACTTTTGTTGTTGTTGCTTATAATAAATATTACTTTTGTTTATAAAAAGATTGAGATTTGTTTACAGTTAGACAACTGGCAGTGCACAACACATATATAACGAGTATCTGACACATGGATTGGATACAAGTAGTATTTGTTTAAGTGCATTTGTTTCAAGAAAAAAATGTGGATTAATGACTTTATTCATCAAGACAAGATACAGTTAAGGACAAACAATTGTAAAAATATTTTTACAAAACATTTTACATACATTTTTAATGGCAATTAAAGCAGGATGTTAGGGAACCAACCTTTGCTGGAGTGATTGATAGCAGGCAGTGTTCTGCCCCTGTGGGTGCTGCTGGCAGTATCATCAAACAGAGGGGTGTGGTCAGTCTGGGGAGTTTCTATAGCAACAGTGGACATGCCACACACAGATTAGCAATTTAGCATCACAACAGTAAACACTGGAACCCAGTTTCTACAGCAACAGCGGACAAACTACACACAGATTAGCAAACTAGCATTACATCATTGGAACCTCATTACATACATGGTATGACAATGTAAATTTCCTTTCCAAAAAGTCAAGTTTTAGTTTGTAAATTATAAGAATTCATGTTTCACTTACCTGGGGAGAGGGTTATATTATCTAGTGCTTATATACCTACAGTGGGACAGGGATTATTAAGGAATGGGGACTTACTGTATGCCGGGAAATTTTTGCTGCAGTTAAATTTTCATCCTCTTTCATGAGGGCAATGTTATCAGTGCAGCGAACATTAGTACATTTCATTATACATACATTAACACTTCTACAAAGTAATCAAATGTGTAGGGCAAGTTTAACACTGGGCGAATATGGATTTTATCGGTTAAGGGTGAAAGTTTGACTGGGCGAAAATATCCCGTTATACAGTATTAGATAAAATATGGTACATTAATGACTTATCTGATTTAATAAACAAATTATTTAGAGTCTATTATAAATCCATCTTAAATACCAAGCCACACATAGCTTTAAAAGCCATGCACTGCCATTTAGTAATACTAAAACACAAATATCACTTCATAGGTCAAGGCCCATTAAACAGGTTTTATAGACACTAACTTTTTATGCTTGTTAGTCCACATGACTAGTTGGATATATTATTTACTAGTTCTTCTTCAATGTAACTAGTCCAAGATTTCCTGGTAAGGAAACATCGCGCCCTTCAGCACGAAAAATCAGAAGTAATCGACTGTAGGGGACTTAAAATAACTACTCCAATAAAAAAGTGGTGAAGTTTTAGGAAAATTTGGACAATTATCATGCAATATATCTTATTTTAAGCAGTTTTACACATACCTCTGGTACCTATAGAAACAGTACCTATTCAATTTTGATATTAAACCAAATCAGAAAAATCAATATGGCCACCAGCAGCCGTCTTGGATTTTGGTAAATGTCACATATAGTTTCTGTTAGTAGGGGGGACTACACAACATACTCAAGTGTTACCAGTAAGAGAGTTTTTGAAGGGTTTTATTTGGTCTACTAGTTTCGCCTCAATCACAGAGGCTTCATCAGGCTACCCAAAAAATCAAAATCCATATATCCTGACAAACACACCTGTATTACTTTGAGACAGGGGAGGTAGTCGTCGTGGTGTCGAGGACGGCAAGATGGCATCTGATGGTTGTTGTGGATCAACTTCTGAATATGCAGAAACTTTATCTTCTGCCATGAAAAAAACAATAAGAGACATTACAAGTAAGAAAACTTTTTACATGCAGCGAAAAAACATGTATAAAATATAAAGATATCATAAATATTATTTATTTCACAAGAAATATGAACTCCTTTGTCCCGGTGGCTACCCTGGCCTTCATTGTGAAAGGCGAGTACTTTACACTATCCACTGCATCATATGATCATCCACTCTAAAAGTGACATTTAGCTTGAAAGAATGTTAATGGTGATGTCAGCCTGTCAGGCTGTACAATTTTGAATAATAATCATCCTGGTTGCTACAAACCAATCATTGCCAGCATCCATCTCATAGTTGCCGAGAGAAATAATCTAAAGAAACATGGTCAAATGATCCCCCTTGTGGCCCCATCCTTTAGCTCCCTGAAAAATCAGCACTACGTTTTGGAAATTTGATTCCCAAACAACTAAGGATCATGGATGCTTTCAACTAAATATAGCTGATATCTAGGGCAGCATTCCTGAAAAAATCATCAATATTGCCAAGTGAGTGAAATGCATTTGTATATATACCTTTTTGGCCCTGTCCCTTATTGACTGTGAACAATTTCCTTTCCTAGTTTAATGACGTACAGCAAAGCTCACATAACCAAACACCCTGAAGAGCATTTTAGTCAGATGTAAAAATAGAAAGTTTTCTTTGGCGAGAGTTTTCATTAGAAATTTATATAATTACATGATACCGAATGACAGGAATGTGCTCGGGGATCCAATTAGACAGACCTCTCTTAAAATTTGTGTACTAACCATTCTGTTGTTCTGACATGATGAGTTGATGGTTCAATCATTTGCTTTTCCTGTGAATGGAAAATAAAACTGAAATAACAATCAGAGTACAGTTAATCATACACAATTCATATTTAAGGACCACTGTCCCACTGTACCGCAGTTTCCTATTCCGTCTTTTCATATTGCAGAGTTATCTGCTCTTGTGAGCAGGTATTGATTGTTATGTCATTTGTTTGTGAGAGTAATATCATAAATGTTTGAGAAAACGACATAATTTTCTCACACAAACTAATGACGTAACAATCAATACCTACTCACAAGAGCAGATAACTCTGCAATACGAAAAGGCGGAATATTACTGTAACCTCCCCTTTACTTCCATTTGGATATAAATGTAGCACACTTTTGTTGATCAGGTAAATGTACTTAACTCAATCAGTTACAGCAAGGGTGTAACAATCAGTTCCAGCAAGGGTGTAACAACTTGAAGTCCAGGGTTTGAACCTCGTCTAGCCAAGCTGAATTTCGATACAATCAGATAACTCTTTTTGACTATATATTTTGTTTTGCAAGCTTTTTTTCCAGAAACGATTTATCAAACTTGTAGTCTGATGCTAGAAAATGTATGATGCATAGTTAGACTATCCTTTCACTTA